CAGTTAGCAGCATTCTTACTTCTACCCACTATATGCAACCCCACCCCTTATCCCCACCACCTCTGTGACAGCCAAAAATGTTTCCAGATATTGCCGAAATCCTCCAGTTGAGATCCATGGCCTTCATGAAGACAACTAACAAAATCACTAGCAAAAGACACAAATTAACTAGTCAAAGCTGACTCATCTACAAAACTGAAGTTCCAAACTTAAACATTATCCTTAATTTAGTTCTCTTCAGCTCTTTTTCAGAGCCTATCTATCATGTATCTCTGAATACTTCAGAATGACCTTGTTTTGAATCTCTAAATTCATTCTGAATCTGACTGTATTTTTACTTTTCTGATAAATTCTGTATGTGTGAAGATTACTTCATTTCATATACCTTCTATTTGTTCTGCATCAATGTATCCTTCATGCAACCATAATTCAATGGGAGTAAACCTAAACAAGTCTACATGTTATCTCAAGTTTATCAAGCTGATATTTTGAAGTAGCTTTGTAAAGAAAGAACATTTTATGAAGTATTCTGTTTTACTTACTTTTCATTATATCTAGTAACTGTGACAAGCAAGTTCTGTTCTCTTTCAGCATAAGACTCTCTGATAAATAACTGGTAAAGAAAGAAAGACAGTTTTAGAGTTATAAAAAATCTATTGAAAACAGAGCATCTTGAAAAGACATGACATCATAAATTACTTTCCTGTATGTTCAATTAATCAAGGACAATTTTAAAATTAACTTATTTTAAATGTATTACAGAATACTTTGAATTCCACAAAACTACAATTTACAACTTTTACAGTGTTAAGTATTACAACTTAGAGCAAAAGATGTTTACCGTTCAAATACTTATTTACATTAAGTGCTTACTATATAAACCCTATGAAGTAAGTACTACTTCAGACCCCATTTTACAGATGTAGAATCTCTGTCACATGGATGTATAAGTTATGACCTTGAAACTTACCCAGTCATACAGTGGCTAGGAAATAGTGGGTCTGGAAGTTGGCACTAGTAAGGACTCTCTTCCCTTTAATAGCAATTCCATGTTAACTATAGTTGTTCTTAGAACAGACATTCAAAACAGTCTTAGAGAATATCATCGTGTGCTTTACAAATCTAATGAATCTTATTTATACTGAGCCCAATTCAAAGATGTTAATACTTCTCCATAAATGTGATATAAAGCCCAATAATCTGTTCTTCTCAGAACCACTAACAGTACTATGAAAATATAATTCCTATATTTAGACTTTGTTACTCTGAGGTTTTATGTATTTGAACTTGATGTATAATTAACAAAAGCCCAAGTGAATAGATTCTTAAGCCCTAAGTAGTCTTTCAAACATAAAAGATACACATATATATTAATTTTTCTTGTGGGTGATAAAAAGTTACAAAAAGGAAGCAGCAAGACAATGCTTTAAGAACTTTTGTTGCTTTATGTCTTTTAAGCTATCCATGTTGTTTATATTACAAAGTTTTGATAACTATTATATTACATCTTCATCATTCATTCTGGGAATTAATTTTACATATGGTAATCAATAACTCCCTTGACAACTGCGGAAAAATGAGTTTCTTTGTGGTGGTTGCCTTGGTTCTTTGGAAAAACCACTTGAGTGATTTTTTCCCCTAAGCCTTAAGGAACTACCTTTGTCCTAGTTTGCTACCCCAGAAAGTTTGTTACTTTCGTCCAGGTTGTTTACCATTTCCTGGGTAAACTGTAAACAAATTGACGGTTGATACTTTTTGTCTGGACCTGGGCTGCAGCCTCCATGTGATTTTATACACCTTGCAGGGATTGGTCAATATACTGTTGACTATGCAAATAAAATAAGTATAGACTACGCAAATGAAGTGACTATGGTCCACCAAGGGGACTGGTCAGCTCACGGTCCTGCTGGGAGAGCCATGCCTTGAAACTGACAAGAAGTTTGCTTATATACGCAGCCAATACCACAGACATTTCAGAAGAAGAGTGGCAGAAAGAAGAAAAGGCAAGATAGGCAAGAAGAGAGAAGCAGCAGAGAGAGGAGGCAAGGAACCTCCTAAAGGAGCTGTAACACAGGTCAAGGGCTGTAACACTAAAGACTGCGAGAGGCCCAGAAGGGACCCACAGCAGAGTCACTGTGACAGCAGAAACCTGCTGCTAGGAATGCAGCTAAGAGAGCTGAACAAAACTGCTACCCCGGCTATGAACTGGGTCAGTTAGCAGTGGAGAGGCGGACAGCACGGAGGCTGAAAGCAGAGAGGGCTGCACAGCGGAGAGTGGCGTGCAGGGCCAAAAAGCCTGTCCCAGGGGACCAACAGGAGGTCTGTCCTAAGAGGGCTGAGAAGAGGCTTGCATGGCTGAGAGGGTGTGCACGGCAGAGAGAAGGGCCTTTTGCTTGTACCGCCAAGAGGAGCTGAGAGAGCTGTCCTGCCCTAAAGGGACGAATGTGCTCTCCACTTTGGGGGAGCCTTCCAGACTTTGTCTACATGCTTCCTGATCCTGAGTTGTATTCTGTTATTTCCTTACTAAACCACTTAAGTATGGTCTGTGAATTCTGTGTGGCCACTGCAACGAATTATAGAACCCAGAAGAGTAGAAGAGAGTGCTGTGGGAGGGATAGCTAGTGTCAGAATTGGTAAAAAGGTTGGAGAGTGGAGGTATGTCTGACCTCCACCTCAGGGAGCAGCTTTGTGCTGACGGTAACTCTCCCTCTTCCTCCTGAAGCTAGAGGACTTCAGGCACTACTCGAACAATATAATGACTAATGCATTCCTGGTCATCTGTGCTTCAAAATAACTAGTTTCTAACATTCCCTTTTCTCCCTGAAACTCTTCACACTTTTGCCATCTTCTTTTGCTTATTCCTTTTATTCTTTCTTTCCTTTTCATTTCTTAAGCATAACACTGATACATCTGGTTCTAAGAGTTAGCTGACCAGATAGCTTTACCTCTGTGAAGCTTTTAAAATTAGGAATCTTTTATCTCAATCCTGAATTAGAATTTTTATTTTTTTAAATCCACAGACATGCAAGAATATCTAAAATGTCAAACCAGCATGTGAGAAAGATAACTCTAAATCAAATGAAACAGAAGAAAACCCAGAATAACAACAAAACATACTATCAGTAATGTCACAACAGCACACGGGGCTTCCCTTTTGAAACCAGTAATAAATATAAAAGCAATGTAACCCAGAAGTTTGTCTACAGGTCAGCTGTAAATTAAAAATGATTTGAAAGCTTCCCCAAAGGGAAAAAAACCACCAAAATAACTATATTCCCTGGGAAAGCGACCAAGGCCTATTGAATTCACGAAGAGCCCAAGGGACCACAATTTCAATTTTGCCTATCTAGAATTATAACTAAACTTCTAAGATGAAAAAAATTCCAATTTGGACCTTAGGAAGCTTCTTCCCCCTCTATGTAAGAAAAAACTTGCCATGTAAGAAAAATCACTGTATATCTGCAAAAGATGCTTCAACATATTAATCAAAGATTTGGTTATTTGCATTGTAGAAAAGGGGGCTTTCTCCCTTAGAGAACAGAAGCTCTACACCTAAATGCCTTCAACATCAGTTACTTACATGGTTATCTTTCCTAACTTGGGCAGGATTTTTATCTTGTTCATTCTTACATTCCTAAAGTGTAGTAGAGTGCCAGAAGATACTCAGTAAATGTTTATTTAATAAACAAGTGAAGGTATAAATCACCTTGAGATTAAATGTATGTATTTATACATAGCTGGTGAACTGTTTGTTGAGAGAAGCAGTATATCATAAATAAAAGAGAAGCCCAAAATCCCTTATCTTGGAAACAGGTGTTTCATTCATGTTTTAGAAAGGTAACATGGTGTATATACAATGTGAAACACTCAGTGATGTCTGAGCTTGCATCCTGTAATCAGGAATACTGATATTTCTGCAAGGAAACATAAATATTTCCACTAAACAGAATAAAGACTAAATCACACCTGTTCAGGTTTTCTATCACCATATCAATGGATTCCGAAATTATGGAGGGATTATAAACCTGTAGAATAATTTAAGTTTTATCATCTTTTTTCCTCAGCTATTCCTAGGAACGAAATCAAGTAGAATTTAACAGGTCATAAATAGAGATATTAAATGAAGAAATTAAAAACTAGTTTATTTTGCTGCTAGCCTGTGCTTGAGTTAGTTAAGGTAAATAACTATGAGAGCGTATGACTAAGTCGTTAAGGGTATGGCTTTATTCAGGCAGACATGGGTTTGAATGCCAGATCTACCATTAAACGTCTGTGAGAACTTCCTATAAACAAATATAATAGTAATATGGGTATAATATTATTTAATTAATCTGTGTACAAGACACTGTTGCAACAATCAAGTGAATTTAATTCAGGTAAAGTGCTTATCACAGAGCCTCGTTCTCAGTGTGCATTTATGTACTACCTATTTCTATTTATGGTTCAATTACAGTTTATTTGGACATTCTCTATAGCATTATTCATTCAACAAATCTTTAGTATATTCCCACATGCCACCTGCTAGGCACTAAAGCAGGTAAATAACGATAAAACAAGGCAGACATATTTGCTGCACTTAAGCTGCTCACCAGTCCATAAAACTTGTAAATTTGCCATACACTGATAGTTATGTAAGTCTTTTGGAAGATCACCTGTTTTATTTTTACTTTAGTCATACATGTATCCACTTAGCTCAAAGAGATTTTACTCAATTTTTTTAAAGATGTTCTTAAAAGGTAATTTCATTTATTCCCTCAGTTGCCCTCACCCACCCTCCAGCCATAAGAGATATGAAGGACTACTGTCATAAATGCACTGAGCTAAAAAGGCAGACTCATGGAGGAGGAAACAGCGTGAATGAAGTCTGATCTAATTAAAACACAACTTAATACCTTTCCATAGTAATTCCAGCCCTTGAGGCACTAGATAAAATGGCTGTCAGGGCAATTTGGGAAGGTGTGTATAAAAGGTAAGCATCTGTCAACGCCACTCTATTAAGAAAGTCATCAGCTGTTTTCCTCAAAATCTCTGGGTTCTCCAACATGGGGTAACGAGTCTGGAAAGAAATTGTGCAAATGTTACCATTTCTGAGGGCTGAATGAAATAACGACAGTCCAACATTTATCTTAACCAGAAAGTGCTTTACACAGAATGTGTTTATAACAGCAACTCTGTTTTCTATATCCCAGCAACAAGAAATAATCTTTGCACACAAGATTATTTTATACTAAACATCAGAATACGGCACAAGTGTAGTCACGAAATTCTGAATGTTTT